CCAGCTACCTATCTGGAAGCAAGAGGCTTAAGATGCAGGCTTCTTCCCCTTCCTCCCTTGCGCCCTCAAGGGATAGCTGCTGGCTTGCTCAGTGCTTAGAGGTTGGGGGTTCGATTCCCCGACTCGCCTCCTTGACAGGGCCTGGACGACGCACAGGTTCCCTTCCAGATCTGCCCTTCTAAGATGATTATGATTCAAATTGCTGGACAGCCCAGTGGCTTAGGTAGGTTGGGAGTTCGAGGAATGCCCGCCGTGCCCCTCCTTGACAAGGGCTGGACTCGATAGGGTGCCTTCCAGCTTTGCAATTCTGAGATTATAATTCGGTAGTATACTCTTTCTTAACATTCATCCTCTTGCCTGAAGGAGAGCGAGAGCATCCTTGGGAGCGTTCCCTAACTTTATATGCCTCGTCGGTGGGTGTGAGAAACGGTACCACCTCAGCACAGGTTTTGGAGCAAAAAAAAAGGCTACAAAATTGTATGCAATCCACTTAATCATTGTTTTATTTGATTGCCTGAAAGGGATAAGAAGTTCTTGTGGGATTTTTCAGCCTCTTATTGCCCAGGAACTTTGGTTGGATTTGGATGCTCCATCCCTTGATGAGAGGAGGCGCAGAAACCAGTTGCTCTCCTCCTGCCTCGGGCAGCGTGGTGTCTTGGGCTGCCCCCTCTATACAGGGGTCCTTTGGTGCTTCGCCTCAGGCAGCATGGTGTCTTGGGACGGCGCTGGCAGGGGCTGCTTGCTGGGGAGTGAACGCCATGCTTTTACTGCGTCCCGCTCGATAAAGTGCATTTAACCCCGAAAGAGAAGGAGCAACTCTGAAGAATATCAAAGAAATAAAACAATACAAGAAAATCCCATAAAATCACGAACGAAGGCAACAGATTTCGAAACCTGTTTTGGCCAGAGATGGAAATGTTATTCCTTCTGGACTTCAACTCTGAGTCCTTCAGCCAGCGTGATCCAAAATGGTCCCATTTCCAAACTTTGACTTCCACCTCCAGCCACTCTTACCTCTCCCCCCCCCCGTCAAGCATTCTCAGGATGAAAAGGGTCCTGATAAATTTTTAAGGAATGAGAGAAATTTCCAGGTTTTGTTTGCTTCATTGACAGACCGACCCACCATGACGGAGAGACTGCACAATTCCCAACCAGCAACGTAATCCCCATGTTTGAAATACTGGGGAAAATGTGATTTCACCACACTTTTAACTGTTTTGTGGAAAGTCAGAAGCACTGTAATTGGCTTGCCTTCTGCCTCGTGCTTTGTATGCCGTTCACAAAAAAAAGGGTTCCTATTTACATGCTATGTTAAATATTAAAACCTTGTTTATATTTACTGGCCTTTTTTCTTTTTAGGTGCCTGTGGGAAGCCTCAGAACCTTCTCAAGCAACTCCTCATTCCATTTTAAGAGTTAACAGGAAGTATTGTTGCTTTTATCTGGAAATACAAAAGGACTGGTGGGGCCTGAAAAGAGAAAATATATTTTGCATAAGCGCATGTGAGTGATGGCCCACTTTTTTTAAGCAGATGAGGAAGTCTTAAATATTTTTTAAGGTGACCTACGGTGCACTCAGATTGGCAAAAATCTATGCTGCATAAATTTTTTTTTAAAAAAAGTTACTGTTTGTTGTCTGATTTTCCTGCTGAAGTTTTAAAAAGAATCAGCCAAGAACTAAAGTTAACATGTTAGGAGGATCGAGAGTGACTCTGAGAGCCAGCTGGCAGAATTCAAACCCATGATCATCAGATTGCATAGAGAGAGAAAGAGAGAGAGAGAGAGTCTTCTAGCAACTTAAATGTTTCATTTTATAGTTTAGTTGCAGCAGGTAAGTAAAAGCTTGCCTTATTGAGTATCAAACAGCATTAAAAAGCATTTTTTCCAGAACATCGGCCGAAGTGTATTTTGAAAAAAGTGACCAGAACAAAATTCTCACCCATCTTCACTGGCTGAGTTCAACAGGTAAAGCTATTTCCAGCAGGGTGGAAGAGTGTCTTGTGTTTAGGTGTCATGGTGCTGTTAAAGTTGAAGAATTTGGCACATAGAAAAGGGTGTGGCACCTCCATGTGACATTGCAGACCAAGAGCATGTCCAGACAGGCCTACAGCTCATTGTTTGGATTGCTTTTGGTGCTACAGTACTTGATTTTAATCAAATTATGACCTCCGTGCATCATTTTACCCCCCTTTTAGTGCCCTGCTCCCTTTTGGTATAAGTCTAAGGCTATAGATTTTTAAGGACAATTCTGGATGCTCCCGATTATCCTGTTCTGTAGCCTGTGTTGGTTCACACCCAAATATAACTTTGGGTGGCATAATCAGAGTTGACAATCCTGTGACATATGAGATGCATTGTGGCATTGAAGGGGACGCTGGAGAACTCATCTATTTTCATGGGCTCCATCACCTTAAATCTATATATTTTCCTATTGATGTAGCGCTATTCTAGATAAATGAGACACATTGGTGTACCACACTAGGTCAATGTGTTGCAGTTGCGCTATATCACTTATTCTGTTTAATGAAAAAGAGAAAGTTGCCATGGCCCCTTGAATGACAGCTACGGAAAAAGATTGGGGAAGGGGAGTGTAGTTAATCAAAAGAAGAACGCATTGGAGTGATCCAAAGACACATCTCTTGGGTCTACAGACTAAGAAAGACAAGATAGCTTGAATGAAATGAATGGATGAGCGAGGCAAGAAATGACAAAGAAGAAAGATCAATCTGACAATCTCAGAAAAATGGAACGAGCCGAAATTGAGACTTTGGTGTCGTTGCTTCCCAACTGAAATTGTTGCTGGACTGACTCAAGTACAGGTGCTTACAAACGGCCCACCCACCTGTATTCTACTGTCTGAGAGCAGGAGTCAGGGCTGTGCTGGCCCTAACGCTAGGCAAAGGGGTTGCTCGCCCAGCAATACTCCGTGCGCTGAGATTTCAGGGCTGAAACCTGAGATTTCAAGTGTGCATGCGTACAGGCACATATTACGTGTGTCCTTCCCCACAGCTAGCTGGCCCAGAAACAGTTCTGCTCCTAAAACTTGCCCATCCCATTATTTATGAAAATAATAAGTAATACATAAAGCAATAGTGTGTTCTTCAGCCGTGTAGGCTAAGGGAGCGGAGGTCCAAGAAAATAACTCTTAAAGATAAAATCTGGAAGCCCGTATTTCCCCAACCTCTCCTCTAACCATTGCTCCACACTCTTGTCCTTCTGCAAGCAGGCAAAGATCTTTCTCTTCAGGCTGGCTTTTCCATAGTGACAGACTGTCTCTGAGAGGTTTTAAAAGAAG